TTTGATAACAGTACTACATTAAGAAATTGTTTTGGCAATGGATAGTTTACTGTGGTGCCCATGTGATTTCACTTGTGTCCAACTTATGTTTTTTCGATTAGTGGATATTCATACTTTCTGTAAAATGTGTCAAATGAAATCCTTTAACCTTGGGAGAGATTCAATCATTTTCTCAATGAAAAGTACATGAAAAACTTAATTTAAAGACATTATACAATTAAAACTACACCTGATAAATTCAAAAATGAGTGTACTTACATTTAGATAGAAGACTAAATAGCCAGTGTTTGGGTAGCTGTATTCCTTGTAAAAGATTCCATTGCCCTGAAATAAATTTGAGGAAGGATACGAATTAAACACCATTGATTAATTGATTCAATAGGAACATTAACTTGAACTCATGAGGCTTGCACAACAGCAAAATGTATGAAGAATGATTTATAATTGAAAAATTTGATATTTTTACAAGGTTTGGCCATATCTTGTTGAATATCTTTAAATACAGTGAATAGCACTTAAAAGATCTCATGGATTTTGCCACCAATTATCACTTAAAGTGTACTTAACATACTATATTATTAATATTAGGGGGTGGGGTCTAACGGTATCATCTTACCCTATCCTCAACAGCTTCCTCCACCCATGTCACTGGATTTTCCATGATATCAATGTTATCAAAATCAACAATCCTCAGTCTGAAATCGCGCCTCTCCCTGAAGAATATAATTTAGCATGTACCAGCCATCCTGATAATGTACTTGGGTCTGCCCTCGTGCATTATTTATGGCTATGTACATGCACTTCAGCTTTAAATTCAGGATTCTTTGTTCTTTAAATATTGGTTGTACGTGCAACTCATGATATTGCATTTATAATTTGTTCAGTAAGTTTGATTGTGTGTTCAACCCATGATATTGCTTGCTAACTTACTGGATTGTTGGTTGTGCGTGCATTACACCTCATTTCTAACTAACTCTGTAAGTTTGGTTGTTCGTGCAATCCATGATATCACATTCTAACTTACTTGGTAAGGAAGGTTGTGATATATTTAAATGGCATTCCATTGCTAACTTACACTCCCCTCCATAAGTTTGGCAACCTTGGCTCCCCCATTGAACTTCGTGTTAAAGCCCATTTACCTTTGAATTTTTATTTACTTCTAATTTGCCCCGAACCCATCATATCGCATTGGTTTAGATGGGAATGACGATTTCCAAAAATTCATCAAATTTATCATCAATTTTCGACCTATTGTAATTGAGGGGAAAAATGGGAAAATTTGGGGGTATTGGAAATAAAGTCAAGTTGCGTTTCCATCAATATTATAAGTTATTTCATCGCAGGTTAAGTAAATAAAAATTCAAACTGAAAGATGCTTTAACACGTAGTTCAATGGGGAGCTAAGGTTGCCAAACTTATGGAGGGGAGTGTACTCTGTAAGTTTGGTTGTATGTTGTAACTGAAGTCCATGATATCGCATGCTTAAAAAAAGGTTGTGATATTTAAATGGCACGCCATTGCTAACTTACTCTGTAAGGTTGGTCGTACGTGCAACCCAAGCTGTTACATTAATAGGTGTGGTAGTACTCGTTAAAGTAATGGTGCCACTTCTTCCCGCCGTATTCTGTAAAACATATTTAAATGTTCACTTCTTATTGTGAATTGATTTCTGGTAATCTGTTCTGGTAATCGATTTTAAATTATATTTTGAAGTTGTTACGGATTCTTATACTCACATCCTGTCTGCTCCATTCAAACTGAGGCCAGGTGAAACCCTGAAGTGTTAAATCAACCAATTAGTCATTGAATAATGTAAAATATGTCCAGCTCTATGAATGAAACACCTTTCTTAGTTGAACACTAACAGTCTCGTAATCCATTGACCTCAGATACTGACTTCGTATGAATCGAACCTCTATAAGTGATAAGCTACAAAGCACAATCAATTGCAGTTTGACTATAAGCTTGTTGGAAGATTCACAAAACTGATTTTGGCGTGTCCAAATAATACTGCATTGACTGTACTGCAAGGTAAAATACTCTAATTTAATTAAGCTTCATCATAATTGCAATCTGTAACGCGTCTTACCTCAATGACGTTAATAAAGAAGGATGCCAAGTTGCTGTATATTCCAGGTCTTTGACCAGCCAGATTATGCCCTGTGTTCGGTGCATTCCTAAAATATATATTCACACACATCTAGTCATGATATATCAACTTCCAATCAATCAGTTCGCAGTTGAGTGAAACCCTTCAAATAGTATCATAAGGAATAGAAAGGCAGGTGCTTATATGCAGGTCAGAGACATGTCTCTGTGCAGGTGAAAATGTAAAATGGTCAGTCTTGAACATTTAACCCTTCACAACCACTGCAAACGTTTCCTTGCAAAAATCGTTACTATCATAAGTATTTTAAGTGATACTGTACAAAATCATCGCACCCCCTGGCTTCGCCTGTGATTTGCCTATATTACTTTGGAAAGAACCGTATTGATACGACGTCAGATACTATACATCACGGCGTAACATTGGAATTGTTCATTTTACCGACAAAAATGCGAAGATTCACGCGATAAAATACGCGCATTGCTCCACAGTTTTTTGGCATAAATGTAAGCGTTAAGTTAGCATTGTTATATTATGACGTCATCACACAGAATCCGTTTGTATTTTTTAAAATGGTGAGTTCAAATATTGTGAAAATTTGAGAAAGACGGCTTGCGTGATTCTCATTTAAAAAGTAAGTTCCAAATTAATTATTTTGAATTCCAATAGGCAAAATATTTCATGGACATACATGTTCAACTAATGACGACAGATTGTAGAAAAATATGATTTTACTGTCGAGATGTCGCGGTAACACACTCACATGAGGAATTTCGGCCCAACTAGGCCATCCCAGAAATAATTTGGATCATCAATCTGGAAGAATTCGTCGCTAGCACCACTCACTAACATCTTGGGCATTGTCATCCTCGATCGGTAACCTACACGAAACATGTAAGGTCTACAATTTGGTTTTCATTTAAAGGCCATGTGCAAGGCTTAAACCACTTAGATATATTTCATATTAATCGAAGAATGGAAATTATTACATGTGGAGACTTTTTGGGCAAACGGTAGCAAACGGCTTATAAACTATACCAGCAAAGTCGTTTGACATAGTTTCAGTTTCAATTAATTTCAAACACGTGCGGCGAAACACGAACGTACTTACTATAAGGATCGACTTGATCGGCAAGAAGTTGAGTTCTGGGATGGTCCAAATCCGCCGTCAAACCCTCTACATAATAATTACCAAAAGCAAATGTCCAACCGCCCATAGTTCGCCAATGTTTGTGTAATACCTTCAAACATAATGACAGTGATCAAACATCAATCAGCTTACAAATAGTTTGACCACAGGCCCGTAGACAGGATCATTTCGCGAAGCCAGAACTTTCCGGTGATTCACTGGCAGCTCCACCATTAGACGAGAATTCATTGATTCTGTTTATGTAACCATAGTTTGTCTTATTTTGTTTTTCCGTTGATCATTTCCCTTTCTTACTCTACTGATGGTACTTACGGTTCGTAGATTTATGACGGATAGTACCATAGGTACCATACCCACCACTCGTCTGTCAGCACAACCAGTCAACCAGGTCGTCCAACCACGCTGGAAGACAAAATAGGCGACAGTTTTCATAAAGAAGGAAGCGCCGATATCCGGGGGGATAAAGTCCGAGGACCTTTTCGTGTCTACTTTTATTTGTAATTCTAGAAACCTCGCTATATCAGCGACTATATTAGATGATACTATATAGCGAGTACCTTGGATTCGCCAGCTGGTACGAATTTCTCAATGTTGTATCGTGCATCGAGACCCTTGGTGAAGCCATTTATCGTATCAAATGCCCTCATAACTGCCTGGAATTCAAAACCACGATTACAATTATCAAAGGACAGCAAATGATATGTTAACATAATAAAAGTGTAACCATTTGTTACAGTTGCTGGATATTGGTCACTAAACGCGGTTATTGTAACAATATGTTCATCACTTGCCTTAACCATGGGGAATCTTAGAATGAACTCTGGTAACGTTGAGGTGTCATCAATCCACTGGCGCCATGTAAACGCGATTGTTGCATCCTCGGTTACCTCAATCTGGTCGGGATCAAGACTTTCCTGGAACAAAAGTTACAAAATACATAGATTGCGTTTGTGTCGTATTTAACCAAACGCTACCTTTGGTGATTATTGAAGGCCATGATGAACAAGATTCGGCCATTGGAATAAGCCTATGATAAGGTGCATCTTAGCTACAAATTCTCTTGTAGTCTGCAAGTGAAACAAGTATACATTCATGGATGTGTCCGGTTACCCCCCGATGATCAGAGTAATTGCATCTATTTATTCATTCTCGTTCATAAACCTAATGAACTGTACAATGGATATATTACTTTTACAGGCAATATCAATGCTCAGGGCAAATATCACTCTGTGATGAGGGACAAATAATAGTATCGCTATGTAAGAACAGAACTACTTACACTGAACACCATGGGTTGGTTGGGGATCTGCCTGAGATACCCAGCAGGTGCCCTCATAGACTCAGCAAAAGAGGCTGATTGTCTCACTCGGCTATCCGTTGGTCCTGGTATTCTGGATTCACAAAGTTGGTCACAGATATATCAAAATTAGCACGAGTGGAGAGATAAACAGAACGACAGATGATTCAGAGGTACTACTCAACGGTATGATCAACGGGTGCAGATAATCGCCTTGTTTCTGTTGGACATAGTCTTTTTAAACCAGCAAACGATTTTCAGAAACCAGAGGAGAGGAAATAAACACGTCTTAACCAGTTTACTTATCTTTATACTAGTATTTATCTTGATGTGGTTACCACGGTTTAAAATCGGCATCTTTCAAGGAATAAGACTCATCAAGATGCATTTACAAAAATATTTTGTGTGTGTGGGAGATAACAAATTTAACGAATACGCACGAGTTGGGATTCCTATTGCTGCCCGTATGGATGTAGAGAAAGGCAGAATCGTAGTACTGGACGTTGTCAGGTATAGCGAGATAGAGCCAATGCCACCAGATTGACTGGCTGGTTACGTTGTCTACAATATGATAACATTTGATGAAATAGATCTAGTCTTGCATTAAACCATTGAACACATCCCCATTATGGTGTGTTGACTCCACGGGTGCTTTAAAAGGGTGAGATTTATTAGATAAATGATGAGCTCGAAATAATGAGAATGCATCCAACAGTAACTCTTGAAGCCAGTGGTCCATACGACTTTAACACTAACAAAGGAACCATTTCATGTGCAATATGCGGCGGGACGGAATGGAAAGCCTCGACTGAGTGTACGGGCTATCACCAAATCAATCATACCGTTCATCCATCTTTGGGACGTCATGTTGATGATGTATACAGTAGAGTTACTCTCTCTGTACTCGGCCATCCTTTGATACGCATAGTTTGAGTCTGGTCTGTTAACATAATCGTCCAAGTCAGTAAATTCATTCCACTACAATGCAATAAACAAATCGTTTTGTATGGTTTTTAAGTTATCCTTTGCAGTTAAACAATCAGGTTCAAAATTTACAGAGAAGCCTTATGGAAAGTTGAAGCAATATTTTCGTTCTATGGACTCAAACATGACTAGATTTTGGGCTTCACATACATCTGGTGGGTTCCCTACGCCAGTGTCTGACTGGCGGTCAATCAGATAAAATTTTCATAACAAGAACTATTTAAAAATTGCGTTTCACCTACCGGATGATCTACCTGGGCGTCACCTATTAAACAACAGGCTGCTATGACAACGCATATAATAAACCCGTTGACCAACATGGTAGCAAAATTGGCTGTGGCAGCTGAACGTCCTCACGTCGCCAATCTAAATTTTAGTAGGTCATGGACTGGAGGAACTATTGCAAAATAAACGTTTCCTTATCAATCCTGATAAAAAATATTAAAATATCCCATTTACCAGTGGAGTAGCCGCATGTACGCAAAGTACTCACATATGAAAAAGTGTTTTAAAGAAAAATAATATTTCTGTATAAATGAATTAGGTAGAAATAAATTTTTAATGAATGGATTTGTTTTATATTTCAATACTTGTAAATTTGGTTTCGAGTGGATAAGTTTTTCGTTTCGCAAAATTACCACCTATACGTATAGATATATATATTTCACCGATCAATTCTAATGTTCTTTTAACTATGAATGGTTTTCTCCACCGAAATAGGTAATAATACCATGTTTGTTGTAAACCCGCCCAAAGTTCATTAAGATTGGTGCAATACAAAGAAAATGACAGTATCTTTCAGCTGACACCCTGTATACAGTGCGTATCAAAAAAACGCAACAGATTGTTATCTCGGAAAAGCACTAAACCAATGATAACAGCCTTAATTTCATTCAATGCACCATAAAGCCATGTGTCTCCTCTTTACAATGATATATCATTTATTGATATTTGGTCATGGTTGGGCGAGTAATCATTCCATTTGCAAAGTGGGCCAAAATTAGCTTTTGGCCAAGTTATAAACATCGCAAAAGTCAGTGTACGGAGCCTGATGCAATATTGGAAAAAAACATAAAACCAATGCTGACTGCATCCTTTTCATTCAATGTACCAAAAAGCCAAATTACTCCTCTTTGAAATGGAATATCATGCATTCACAGGGAGTCATGACTGGCCGAATAATCATTAATTTTGCAAAGTGGGGCAAAATTCAGCTCGGGCCCAAGTTTTAAAAATTGCAAAAGCCAGTACAAAGGGCATAGGGGCTATTGGAAGAAGATGTGACAGGTGTGGCATAGACAGTAAAGTGTCCATACTCATACATCCTATACCTCTCCAAATTGCCACTACTTCCTTGCACATAAAAATGCGCTCATCTGCCCACGTCATGCATGGTTCAGCCCTGAGTCATCTGTGGGTTAAAGCAGAGAAAAGCAGCCCATGGGCAATTCTTTCTCGAGGTTTTGCAATATCTAGTGGAGGAATTGTGAGCACAGATGCTCCTGAGATAGCTCCAAAAGAAAAAGTCACAACAATTCAATTCAGAGGAACTTCCATTGGCACTTAGCCCTTGCACTGATTTTTGCAATATCTAAAACTTGGCCAAGAGCCGATTTTGACCCACTGTGTAAACGGAAGGATTTCTCACCCAACCATCACCACATGTGAATGAATGACATATCATTGCAAAGAGGAGAGACGTGGCTTTATGATACATTAAATGAAATGGATGTAGTCATCACAAGTTTTGTGATTTTACAAGATAACTACTTGTTGCGTTTTTTTGATACACCCTGTATATAAATTCAAATGCGTTTGAGTTTCATGATAACCCGTAGTTTATATAACTCACGTACCAGACAGGCTCAGACGCCGCGTCAACATTCGAAAACAAAAATCTCAAAAATCGTGCATCTTCAATTTCCAAAATAATTTGTATAGTGGTTATTAAGATGATAATTTACATTTTAATGTATCTATTTTGAGTACATACACCTGTATCGAATCCATTCCCAATAGAAGCGTTCACGAAATAAGCTCGGAAATAAGTATTCGAAATGTTTGAGTTCGAGGTGATCAAAGTAGGCTTCGTTAAGGTCATTAACAGATTCCTTTAGAAACAAGATACAGATTCAAAAGCACATTCTTCTTATTACTTGTTGACACATGCCAACGAATGTTACGTAAGTAAATATTTTCGTTCTAAATAATTTTATCAACGTTGTTATCTACAGCTGCCATTTTTTGTAATTGAACAACAAAAAAATCATTTTGGATTTCTAAATTGATAAGTTTCTTGGAATGCAATACAACTATTAAGTTATAAATAATGTTTTCCTCAGTGATTCCATGACAAATATACAGTGACTGGATCAATATTTTATGTTCAACATTGTTTTCACGACTTTTTTAACACAGTCGACAATGATGTAGGAGATTACAACTCCAAATATCAGCGTGTCAACTCGTGTTTTTCACAATATTTAGCTTTTTATCACGACGGATCGCCAAAAACTACACGTTCATTTACATATGATTCACCATTTCTAGTTCTAGAGATGTGAGTTATAATTCCGTTTCGAACATTGATGATTTGAGGTAGACTGTGGATATTTATATAAATGTAAGTATTCGACAGTTAAATACGTTGGAGATTACCGAGAACGTCATCCACATCCAAATTGTCCAATTAAACGTACTCACTGAGCCTAAGTTTCAGCCTTTTTGGTTTTGAAAATTGCCCATCGTTATTTCTTTGGTACACCTGTATTTGAGTGTATATTTATATTATTCATTATGCATGAATATGAATGTGTGCATATGCTATTATTTAAGAATCAAATAAATATACTTACTACACGTTGTGTATAAATTGCAAGCCAGTATCTTATGCGCAATACCAGCAAAGAGACGACTCTTGTATAAATGTAAATGACAGGCACTTGCTAAAAGCCAATAATCACTTGAAGGATCACAAGCAGATCATTTCAGCATCCCAAAGTGTATGGTTGAATTGCACATAATTATGTTTGTCAGTTTGATTGTAATAAGTACTATTTCCATATGTGTGTCACCAATGATCATTGTTGAAAACCAAATAATATAACATTATGTGAACTTACATGTAAGTCAATTATAATTATATTATTCTAATTTGATGATTTCGTACTTTCTGTATGTTATAAATATGTTGCAAGCGCATTAACTTCTACGAATACTTAGCAAAATTGTACACTTATTGAATATGAGGGTGCAAAGCGCAATTCCCTCTATGATAGTTGTCTAGGGAATTACGTCTACGAGTCCTTGGTATTAAGAAAAATTATTATCAGGTTCACAAAACTTCGCACAAATACCTCTCGGTAAATTAGGAGGGGTGGGAATGGTCACCGAAACATGTGCTTCAATGGGGCGAATACTACAGTCAGTCGTCGATTCGTGGATAGCGGTCGGAAATCTTGTTACTCCGTTCTGTTCCGTTCTACTATTACCATTATGTTCTACTTATTACCATTGGAGTTCTTGGATAGACTTGTGTGAATTCGATTTGTTTCATTTTCTTCATAAAGTACAATAATACAGGGTGTTGAAAATGGCACACCCTGTATGATGTAGGTCATCTCAGTGAGAAAACTTTAAAACAAGGAATTGGTTTAGTTGCATGCGCATTGTTGTTGCTGAGAATATGTTTTCTTACCAGAACATATCATGTCCAATAGGACACAGCCAAGGATAGAATTGTTTAAATAAAAAACAACAAAAACATATCTAGTCATCTATCTTTGTGATTAATTTATAACTTAGCTTTGTAGCACAAATGGCAACTATTTGTCAAATAATGGAAATACTCTGAACTTTACACAAGGACGGGTAAGTATTAGCCATTGGTTCATGGATTGGCCATGAGAGTTTCATAACTGTATTTCAAAAACTCAAAACATGGGTGACATCTATACTTCTTTGAAGTTTATGAATCACAGCGACCGAGAAGCTTTTCCAACCCAGAGAATGGCAGAGATCTTAATGCTTCAACTTTCCCATCATGTAACAACTTGGCTGATTTGTACAATACAACCCTTTCAACTTTTGAAGGCTTTTGAAAACTTAAGATTGGGATCATGAATAATAGTCCATTAAAATATTTTGCTTCATATTCAAATTTCATATGCTACCATGACTCGCTCGATTTGGAGACATCAACAAAACAAAGCTGTGTATTATAAATAAAATATGTATTTTAATGGGGAACTCAGATATTAAGCCAAAATCTCAAACAAAACTGGGATGCCTCGAGACTGACATTAAATGGAAAAATATCATTATAACATGCATAATACAACTGGTCAACCAGATATCAAAAACAAAGAAATAATAATGACTTTTATACTGCACTCTTGCTCATTAAAACAACAGTGTATGAATCAATGCATCCAAAATATTCAGAAATCCCAAAATATACATTTTATATTGTGTATTATACTATGATCATGTCAATGTTAATTTGAACATGCAAAATATCACCACCTGCCATTTGATACAGACACCAAACACCAACTGCCAAACACCAAAAGCTGAACACTAACTACCATGACACCATTCACAAAAAGTTAGAGACTATAACAATATGTCACCACTTGTGGTGGTGTCGTAATAAAAAAATACTGATATCGAGCATATAACATACAACACTAATAATCTTGGTGCAGTGAGCTTTACATGAGGTTTTGGAAGTAGGTTTGCAATTGCATGAAAACCCATTGCCTCCACCTTAAAAACTGGCATAATTTGACCATATTTGGTCAGAATTGTGAGAATAATGGCAAGAACACATTGTGGCGATACTTTCATTAGTTTCATGTTCATATTTCATACAACCAAAATAATTCAACATTTTCAAACAAAGTAATTCATGAAAAAAACCTGATCATGATGTCCGTGATAATTGTTGAAATCACTGATGCATTTATAAAATGATATTTCTCAAAATCGCATCATATCCCAGACATAGCAAGCGCTAAGCTGTTTTAAATAAAATTACTTTTTGTTCTGTTTTAAATTATATTTTAGTATTTCAGATACATATTAATATCATGAAATTGTACAGTATCTTATATACAGTGATCCCCCAGCATTAGAGCGACTAAATACTGCACCATGTCAAAATGATGAAACATTGAGCTATTTGGACAAAATAGGTAGGATTAGGCATGTCCACCCGAGGAGATCACTGGACTGTCTACTACAATAAAAAGATCATGACTTCACTTGTTCCTTGTTACCCTGTAATATAAATTAGTATAATATAAGTTTATATATGAGACACTGTACAATGTACATGTACCCGAACATTGCATAAAACACAATGACATAATATCAGCCTTCCTTTCTGTCTAATATGAAAATTCACATGGCGAGTAGTACCCGATTCAGGTGAAATAAAGAAACATATGATATTTATGATTTTCCATGATTTAATGCTTTCCATGGTGAATTAATTGTTAATCCATTTACCCATTTACAATTGGGAAATGATACATCTTGTAAGTATGATGTAATGCAGTCTTGCATCAAGCCTCTGCTCCTCCAAATTGTCCATTTCAATATACAGGTGCATGAGTAATTGCGGGAGGGGTTATACAAGGGCTTGATGCAAGACTAAGAAATACATGAATTCCCTGTGTTACTCCTTTCCTCAAGAGCATATTTAGGAGGGGGGGGGGGGCACTGGTGTATTACCATGATTTTATAAATACCACCAATACCATCCAACGAGTGCATAGGCATTTTCATACAGAAACATGATTCAAACATTGCATACAACAATGCCAGTCAGCATTTTGAAAACCAGTCATCTGGTTCGGATTCATAAATACAGTATTAACAAACGGCTATTTCAGATCCTATGACTTACGGTCGTCATAAGTACTCTTCTACTTCAAATGCCTTTTCAACAGCTTCTGCAACATTGTGCACAACATGAGTTGGTTTTTTCAGTTCAAAGTCCATTGCAAAGTCTCTATGATTATAATTCAGCACATAGTCATTATTTTCATCAGTATAGTCCTGGTTTTTGTTATAAACCCCAGTACAAACGAGGATCGAATCGCAACTTTCAGCACTTTGCTCAAGGGCATATTCATTCTCGGCAATTTCTTTTTCCTCGTCAATTATTTCTTCATCACTCTCATATGATTGGACAGCTCTCTTGGATACATGCTTCAAGTTCTGTTTAAGCATCACCTTCGTCTTCAGAGCCTCTCGTTTGTTCTTCAAATATCGGTTGTAAAGATTTGCTCCATAGATATCTGTTTCTGGATTGTCTCTGTAAATAAAGATGGCAGTCTAGTCAAGAAACAGTAAAATCTATATGATTTAGATTACTTTCAGTTTTCATTATCCTTTCAAATTATTACAAAGTTTAATGCTTCAGGGACATAACTAGGAATAAACTAGGTGAGGCAAATGTAAATATGCATATGCAAGGCAAATGAGGCCAAAAGAAGGTATAAAACTACATTTGGACTACCTGAGGAACATGTTTAAGAAGTACATTTGGACTACATTTCAAGTTATATTAAAAAAATGTCTGGAAAATAAATTTCTGTAAAATTTTGATGAGACCGTTCCTTGGCAGTATACCAATGTACTTTTAAATAGATCACATTACCACTCAGTAATAAGCATTCTTATCTTTACAGGCTGTAAAAAACAGTGAATCTTTCTTTATTGCATTTCAAAATCTTGAAAATTCCACGAGGCTAAAATTAAAAATTTCTTGAAATTTCACTGTATCACTTACCCTACGCAATATATATGCTTGACTGGGGCGGTGAGGCCCATGGACCTGGCCTGATCACTGAGAAGCTGTGTTGCATGGTGGTAGGTCATCTCACTAGGTTTACCTATCAGAGCTGTGTAGTGGATGTCGCGGGCTGTGATCTTCTTGTACAATGCTTCAAGGCATTGGAGAAAACAACCATGCCCAAACCTAGATAGAAATAGGATTGATTGAAGTTTTGCGGGTGAATTGAGCTACACTTAATAGTAAACATTTGGCAATTGCGTGTCATCGAAACAACTTACTTAATGTGAATACTTGATAGGCAGAAGTCTCACTGTGAACACCTTTCTATGTGAACACCTCTTAATATGAACACATCTTCATGCAAACATCTCTTCATGTGAATAGTTTCAGTTGATCCCAGCTGATTTCACACTTGGTTTTACTATTTTCTTATACACCCCAAAGAAAATCATGATTAAATGATTAAATAATGTCTGTTCTGAATCTTAAGGTTGAAAGGCACATTAACAATATTTCATCAATTAAGAATGTAAGCATGAACATGTCATTATCTGACAAAATGTCATTAACTGGTGGAAAAAACAAAAGTGTGACATTTGTTACAGACTCGTGTCACTGAAGTTGAATGCCATTCACACAAAACTTGTGGCTGTAACAATATGTTACACTTCTTGGTGTGAAATAATAAAACATAGCCTGCATACCTTGGCATATGAGCCTCTGCCATCCAGAGAAGGTCCATATTACAAGCCAGGATAGGGATATGGGGGTAGGGAATGATAGAGGGCGCTCCAGCAGGCAAGCCATTTGTCAGCAACACATCAATGATCAACTGTAAGTTTGTCTCCCATCGTACTGGTTCACCAAACAGCACAATAGCTGCAAGCACAAGAGGAAAACAACATGAATATCATTGGAGCGTTTCATCATAAATTAAATCATTCAATAATATGCAATAGTATAAATTCCATATGTAGATGAATAACCTTGCAAATGTTATCATGTTTTACTTTACTGTTTAAATTCATGGTATATTTTGCATTAGGGAACATTTGGGAATAGTCTTGTTTCAAGACCCTGGACCTCTCTCTTATCTACATTGCAACCCGTAGTTATTTAGAGTTTAAGTTGATAAGTGGGGCCCAGGGTCTTGAAGCAAGACTAATTATGGAAATCTGGCTGTAGTTAAAGCTGTCTTTTATATGATTTTGTTTCAAGCGCATGTGACACCCTCTAAACAAAAATAGAAGGGGTGGGTCCAAAAGCTAAAGGCAAGACTATGTTTTATCATATAGCCACATAATAAACACATCTTTTAACATAATACATCCCAGCACAGCATATAGGCCTGTGTATGTGTAACTTTGCACGTAGGGCCTCAACTTTCATATGGAATTCATAATGATTATCATAATAATTCATCTCCAGTAAGGAGAGACGAGGCAGCCCTATGAATACTGATTCAGAATCAGATACAGGTTCATTATTGCAATATATTTCACTCGAATGCTTAAGAGTTTGTATAAAACATTGGTTGTTTCCAAAATATCCTTGATGAACATGTATCAGGGTAAAGAAATTCTCCAGTATGTGCTGAAAGTTTTGATTTCTCCAACATCAGCTGATTTTAGTGTTTAGTGTCATCAGGACCTTAACATACACAATCAATGTCATCTGGGCCATCACCTTTCAAAATATCGTAACTTCTGAGAGGTCAACATAACCTTTTCTAAATGATGCATATTTGACAACAAAAACATTGACGCACTTGGTGCACCATTTAATATCAACATCACTTCATCAAGGTAACCTTAAAATAGTTGTTGTGCTGGATAAACGAACAAATAGATTGTAATTTCAATTAATCAAAATGATTACCTGAGACAAAGATGTACATGCACTCAATATACAAGTAAATTGCAAAGCAATATTTTTTAATTGAATTGTTATGCTGCATACTAGTCTAGCTACCTTGTGACCCCCCCGTACACACTAAAGGGGTCCAGTCTTGAAGCAAGACTAGTTGAACAGCTACATGCATTTAGTCAAGCAAACTTAAGTAAATCATGAAATCTATTGCATATAATGGCCATAAAACTCTCTTAAACAGTAGTTTCATAATAAAATAGAGTTACTGCAGTAAAGGTTATTTGCACATATAAGAATAAAAACATGGTATCCCTCTTTCATATCACGTATAAGGCATAGTATACTAATAATAAATACAATAAAAATACTGGTTTAATATGTCACTGAATAATACTTCATTTTGTTTGAAGATTTCCCAGTTGACAAGATAAATGTTTTAACATTGACTTTATTAGTCAGAAAAAATTAATTTATTGTATAGAGTTCAACATCGTTTTTTGATAAAATAAAACCTTTTTAAAACCCTTTAACTTTCTTAATTTTAGATTCTGCAGTTTGGCATCATTTCCTGATAAATACAAGTTTCGAAAGCTATTGCTTATTCTTTGTTATTCAACTTTTGTTAATGTACTTACGATCGATGACCTTGGATTAAGAGCTTGGAGGTAAGTTAAGGTTGGTATGGGTTTGGTTGTTATCAACCAATCAGGAAAGACTACTCAAATCAACTCCAGCTAAAGATAGAAAAGAATCTGCACTCCATTCCCCGAAACAAATCTGCACGTACACAGTGCATTTAAAAAACAATTACTTAAAATCTTGAACGTTGTTATAAGGTCCCAGGTCAAAAGAATTATGATCCATGGGTTTGAACTTTCCTATGCCAAACAAACATAATGTTCGATTGTCAACAGAGTTGTAAGAACTATAATTAATATTATTTTGGAGGGGTAAATGGGTATGCAGGAAACAAGTTGTAAAATAACTGTATAAAAGTTGATTTTACTTTTACTAATGATTAGTAGTATTAAATCAATCAGCATTTTAAGTTATAAATGTGTTCCCTACATTTAAACAAGATATCGAGAAACTGAATTAGTCTCCTGATGGAATTAAGTCATATATAATACTAGTAAAGCAGCTTAAAAATCAATACTCATGTTTATTCAATGTATCATATTTTATATTCCATTTTCAATCAAATCTATCCATTTACAACAAAACACGCCTCTGTACTGTATATGACACACCCACACTGATAACTCTGACATCAATCATAGTTTCCAGGTTTACACATTAATGTATTTCTTTGAGATGGAAACAACCAAGTTCACTTTCTCAATGTTTTTCAACTGTAAGATTAAGAGCTGTTTTTTTAACTTCTCAATAACATTCTTCTTCTTTCCCATTAATTCTGGATCCATAATTTATGGGGAAGTTTGCCAGCAGTTTTTACATTACCCAAGGTCATCTTGACTTCTTGAAATAGTATGCACAGTAAAATTGGCAGATGGCATAGTACTTCGATCAATTACTTCAATGTATTAACCAAAACAAAATTGTTTGTAAAGTGGTTATTACAACCAGTTTTAATTATGTATTTGTTTTACAATTTGGACATTTTTATGTTTGTTTTTAGATGTATTTGTTAGTTTTGATGCATATCACTATTTAGAGAGGACACTATGGTGCTAGACAAGTGGAATGCACTTAATATTAATCATATTCTTGTACTTCAACTTAACCTTTACCAATTGAGACTAAAGCTGTATCATTAATATGATAAATAATACTTTGCAAAAATAATCTTCAAAATATGAATAACATTTCTAAACCCAAAAAAGTCTCAATGTTCTCATTTGTATTCTTCAAAATATGATCTGGATATACCCTTAATTATACAAAGGATTGTGTTTTAGGAAGAAGAGGCCCAAAATTGCACAAACATTTTATTTTGTTGACCTAAGTGTACTAAAAAATAGGGCTTGTAACTAATAGTTGGTGAAAAATTAATGATTCTGTTCATTCATAGTACAATTCACATCAGCAGATTAAATCAATAATAAATAAAGGGACTTGATAAGTAGATCGAATGGTCAATACTTCTGATACCCCCTGATAAGTCAATTCCATTTCAAAACATTTTATTGAACAAACAAGGTCTATCATGAATCACCTAATAAACTTAATACACTTTTAGGCGTAACATAATTGATACCTGAATAGTGCCCCTTTTATCTGTGTCTGTAGATAATAAATAATACTCCATTCGAAAGTGAGCGTCTAGTTAAGCGTCTAGGTAAGCCATTGGCTCACATGCCACACCATGTGAAAGCATGGTAGTAAATGTGAAAGCATGGCAGTACATGTGGAAGCAAACAATGTGAAAGCATGGTACACCATGAGAAAGCACACTTTTAGGCATAACATTATTGATACCTGAATAGTGACCCTTTTATCTGTGTCTGTAGATAAATAATACTCCATTGGAAAGTGAGTGTCTAGTTAAGCGTCTAGGTAAGCCATTGGCTCACATGGCATACCATGTGAAAGCATAGCACACCATGTGAAAGCATGGCACATTATGTGAAAGCATGGCAGTACATGTGAAAGCAAACAATAGGATTTTTCACTGGTGTATATTTTTATTTTCATACAGCTATCATGTGTGAAAACCTAAAGAATAACTGAAACTATTTTACTTACCTTCGATTCTTGGGAAATACTTTTCAAATGCACATGGCTGCAAAATCAACAACACATCACATTAATATTTTCCAAGTTTAATGTTTTCCAAATAGATCATAAACAAATAGTCGAAGGTGTAATATTTCCAAAATCTGATAGTTTTGGAGACCATATACTGCACTCAAACACATGTACTGTACATAGAAAATAAGAAAATGATGTAAAAAACTTTGAAAAAATTGAATATTGTGCAGAGAACATGTTGGTCTCGCTAAAGTGATATCTAATTTTTATAGCACAAAAGATGGTAAATCCTTTGATACTTTTTTTACAAGGAAATTGAGGTATAAATACACATAAATATTTGAAAATACAAAAATAGTCAACTTTACTTACTGCTGTTTTTCGTCTTTTATGATCCACCATATCTAAACTTGGCATCATGTGACGAAGTTGTTTCATTGTAACAATATCCTTGAAACCGAGATTTTTAGCAATTTCTTCAACGGGCCCCTGGCCACTGACAAGAACCCGCTTGTCATGGAACTGCTTGAACATCCTTAATGGGCTGTGTGACATCACAACTTGTTCGGGGGATATCTGAAATACATTTTTTTGTAAAGAATCATCACAGATGATAGGTTTCAAAGTATATGACATTCAGTTGTCTACCATTTTTCAAATTTAGTATTGAATTAATACCTTCTTTTATATACAACTCTCGCACATAGATAACATTTATTATTAGGGATTTCTCGTACTGAATTAACAGGAGCTGTACTTATTTATGGAGATTTGCCTTCACATCTTTGTAAATCCCTACTATTCGACAGGACAACATGTTAAAACCTTTTTCATATTATCGGATATTAGTGAGAGTTAAAACATAAAAAAATATGCTATACAAACTATCCAATAAGAAGTTTAACTTATCAAACTTTTGAAGGGGAGTGTAACAAGGGCAAGGCAAGACCACACAAACAACACCTACAATCAGCTGTTTATTTGTTATAAAACATTTGTAGAGTAGGCTACTTGAAGAGTTATATCAAACCATTTCTATATTATAGATAAGAGAGGTAATTGATATTACAAATATGTTTGAGTAGGAAAATTGATGTATATGCATCGATATGGATGAAAATACTTTTACGTTTTTCTTGATTTTGTCACTCAAGTTGCCAAAGTTTTTAATGGAAAAGTAGGGTACGTGTGTCTATGAGACAGATTATGGTATATGAATTGTAAATACATATTCTGATATTCTGTAAGTTCATGTATAAATTCATTTTAACCTAACAAGAGACGTCCACCTGTACTATATGACCTTGCTATGACAGTTTATCTTGAAAGTTGTTATTGAGTTCATGACTGACCTCAAATGACCTCAAAAAGGTTATGTAGTAAGATTGATCTTTTGTTCAGGTTATCTAACATATTCACATAATAAGATAATCTAGATATGGAACCATATTACCGCATGATAACCATTGATCAATAGAATTGCTTAAAAGACAAAATCTTTACAATATATATATCACAAATAGTTATAAAATAGTGTAACCATTTGTTACATATACTAATGCTAAATGCCAATCAAGAATGCCAGTCACAGAAAATTGTTGCTATAACAAAATGTCACATAATAATTGACTTTTACAAAATTTGATTGTTTTAAATCAAGATACACTTAATATAACTAAATGTCATCTACTAGGCTTTCATAACATTGAACTTGGCTATTGAATACCTTTCATCTCATATGCAATGCTTGTTCCAGGCACACAAAACACAAACATATTTGCTTAGTCATTTAGTTCAATCTTATCAATGATTCGGTTGATCTTGAAAAACAAGATGAATGGAATCTTTTTCAAGGTCACTGTGGAACCTTCTAGGCCTCATTCAATTACAAATATGCCAAAATAAAGCGTCCAATTTCGTTAAAGTCTGGTTTTATCATTTTATGGCGACAGGCTGTCTCTGAAACATGTAAAGTAAAAACTTTTCAGTCTCAGACAATGATTAAATTCGAAAATAAAAGCTTCCAATGTTTGTTTGTAAATAATTAATTCAAGTAACTGTTCATAGGCTGGTATGGACACACCCCTCTAATCCATTTTCATCTTTGCTATGAAACAGGAAGACTGGATATATAAAGATAACCCATTTTTACAGCAAATAGAAAAGATGCAAGAACAAATCATACTCACACTTACCATTACCAGTTTCAACCAATATGAAAACTTCACAGCTTTAGAAACGAGAGTAAAGTTTCATTCAAGATTTTAGCATTATTTAATATCTGAATTCCTAGTGGTTCATGGTAATTATAATCACAAGCAGAAATTGTTCAAGTATTTATTGGCCAGTTGCTAATGCCTAGCTCACATAAGCTCCGATCTATTGACTGGCACCCATAGGATTGAGTATTTTGTTAAAAATGAATGCAATTCTGAACAAAATACTCAATCGTACAGGCACCGGGCGATGAATTGGAGCTTCTGTGAGCTATGGCATTACAAATGCAATATCTACAAGGACAGGTAAGTTGCATGCAAAACATGCTGCCAGCTTGGTACATGTATGTATTATCACCCATGGTAACAATTAACATGGTTACAAAGCAATGCTTGTCCACATAAATAACATGAAATAATATTGTCATAATTTTGATATTTTGCCAATCGAATTACAAGTTTTCAGTGACTCTTATTTAGGAACTTGGCAATTGAAATTGATATTTTGTGAAGCAAAAAGGCCAGAACATCATGTTTCATTAACTCATTCATTGAAGCAATGCAACTTATCAAAGCATTACAATTTTCAAATCTAAAATTCTGATGCTAAAATCACACTCACAACCCATGCTCCCCCGCCCACCCAACAGCGGCTTTGTATTGACTTGACAAGTTTCTGCTTGTCCCCCTGAAAAATAAATTCTAGCTCTATCCCACAGTGTGGCACACATCATTTACTCACATGAATATCCAGCCATTCGGAAAGCTGTTTTGCTTTATGTTGTCGAAGATTATTCCCTGCATTTGTGACGAAAACTGTAGGTACCCGAAAATTCTCTTTGCCGTCAGTGAGTTTGTAGATTGCCCTGCGTGCTGTTGGTAGGATTCGTTTTCCTCGTACAATGACGCCATCTATATCAAACAGGAAGCCAAACCGCGGTGATTTATGGAACTGCAAATATAAAATATCGACAAACTGTTAGTAAAATAGGTCAACTATTGTATGTGTGCTTATTTTGACGTAATGTTATTTTGTGATTTTTACGTATTCGGTAAACTTGTCAATGACCACAACAGGCTACTAAACAAATGCAGAATAAACTGAAGATGAACTTTTCAAGATGACTGAAACAGGCACCGTGATGGTGTATTTACATTTTTTGAAAGAAACTCTAAAAAACTGTTCTTATGTCAATCTTTTCTAAATATTCTAAGCATTCAAAACAATCCAATGTGGATTGCCTAAACTAGGTTGAAAAGAAGAATACATATATTGCAGTGGTTTCAGTAACTTTGTGTACAAGGGGCAGATGAAAAATACAAGAGGCGGCATTCAAAATAACCAATTTTACGCTCCCGACAATGCAAATTATTGTTATTTTAGAGTGCATGGACTGAAAGAAAGATGTCCAAGGTTTGTCAAAGTCATTTCCACGTGTGATGTGGCAAGACATGGGCTCCACAAAATAACACCTGGAACTTTGGAATGACTAGGGCAACTTATAGAGAATGTCATTTACCTTTTATAAGATAACTTACCCTTACACAGGTTGCATTTCACAAATCCAAATACACCTGTTGAATTGAACACTTTTGATATAAATCAAAATCTAGAATTGTCATTATTAAAATGAGAGTGATGTATTAATAGATGATTCACTTGTGATTATGTGTATATCAGATTCATTTTAGTTTTTACCACCTCCAGACATTGCCAGAAGTGTTGACATACAGGGTGTTCCAAAAGTAACAGGACTGGTGCTGGTATTTTGTTAAATATGCACCATTTGTCTTCAAAATTTTACATAATGTACCTTCATGTTTTTTAACTAAAATTGCCGAATTACATAATTTTTGTCGAAACTGATTTAGAAATCGGCTGATGACTACTCATCGGCCGGCGCCCGGCGCATATGTGTCCTAGGCATTAGAGAGAGAGACCTTCATTTGCATGGAAGACTTTGATAAAATCCTTTTTTGATGATTTTTGTTAGAAAGCTGATGTTTGGCTAAGCTTCGAAATTCCAAATTGAACAGTCTACTAAGAATACCATGTTGTAAATATTGTTTTCTTTATAATATGTCGAGCTAGGACTGCTCAAACAAATTCCCTTTTTGTAGCTACATGTACAAGTATTTAATTTCAATAGATGATAAACTTCTCAATATAAGAAATTACCCTCATAAGACATTGTTGCAAGGTGTGTTGCAATGAATGTGGCACCCCACATTCCCGGGCCCGCATTATGTATTCTCGAAGAAAGCCATCATGATAAACCATGACATCTCATTTCTCTTCAGCCCTGTGTTTCAGGTGAAACAGAAAGATGCCATGAGTATCAGAATGGAAGAAAGCATATATTTGCATTGATGGTATATAGATAGTTATTTTATATAGTGTTTTAGTTGTACATGGAAACCGATTCTAACCAGGAACTTTTTTCAAGATCCTAAAGTTGCAATTCTCGTTATTGTGTTTCATTGTAAAGACGCACCTATGAAAGTGTGTCTCTGATACAAAGGCGTAGTTCTACATTAATTTAAGATACACATTTTTTAAACTTGTACGTGAACATGTAGAATTATGGACCTGGTAGATTTTTTCTCCCTTTTGTACTGTTAATACTTGGCCGGTTGAGTATATAAAGGTATGCATGTCCCAGCTTTTGGTAAGTGTGGGGTCAAACCTCCCCCCATCACACATACACTTTTTATCATGCTTAAGTAACTTCGCATTGTAATTACAAGGGTGTAATAAACGAGACACCAGGATGATAAAGTAGGTGTACAATATATTTCCGCGTTTGCGCGGAAGAAAATTAGGGTCCAAATCTTGAGAAAGAGTCAGAGGAATGCGAGGCGAATCCTGGAAACTCGGGTTCGGGAAAGCGGGGTTCACTGTTTGGTTCCGTTGACACCTGTGCGAAACTACATTCATAATTTATCCGACAGTCGCTTTGATAATGTTTCTTTATCTCGTCTGCTACTCGATAAAGATGAATTAACAAAGCTCATCAAGAATGGATGATCTTGCACAGGTACTCATATAAGAACCTCTATATCTTTTTAACAGCAATATATAACGGACACACTATGTTAAAATTAAATGTTATATCTAATGTGCCAATTCAATGATTTAGCATATCGAAAATATTTTCAACCGAAGTGATCACATCGTGACATTAGGTGGCAACATTTTTCAATGTCAATCTTTTCTTAATATGCTAAACTTAAAAAATAAAACAATTTTGACTGTCTAACCAGGTTAAAAGGATGAATATGTTTTTAATATTATTTTACCATTGGTTTCTACGAGAATTAAAATTTTGAAATGCATCTTTCTCTGAACCACTTTCATGCATGGATGAGTTCATTGCTCGCTCATCTATCAACCAATTTTCTTGATTTTGTCGGCAAAAAAAACAAGTGAGGATGATTGCTATGCATCGGTGTGAATTATCGCTTTAAAAGATAAGTGTCACCTCTTAAAGTTAATTTTGAATAAATTCACGATGTTTTTAACAAAAAGTCCTTCAAAAACATTTTTGAAATTAATAAAAAGTTTCACATTTCACGCTTTGATAACATTGGATAAGACAAAAATATAAGCCAAAGTGGTTTAAACTTTATATGGGGCCTTTAACTGATTAATAGTACAATAACGTCATTTCTAAGGGCCCAAGGTCCAATATTTCACTATATTGCTCGCAGAAATGACGTTATAAGTATTAGTACCACCGTTAACAACCAGGGCTGAAATAGCAAGAAAATCTTACGCACTGAACGATATCTAATTTCCCGGGGAAAAATTGCCGGTCCGGAATATATTCTAGACCGGTCCATATGGACCACCACTTTGCCGTCACACATTTCTCAGGTCGATATAGTAAATTGAATGCCTTCTAAACTAGCACTAAAAGTCTAAAACCCCTAGAACTGGCCCGGCAAGGTGGTAATAACACAATTTTACACCCATTGGAAAGACTGTACTGTGACTGGTTGTACAGAGTTATATCAGTCATACATGTAACTGCATGTCCAGTGGAAAATAACCAACTCTGATTATACCAAAGGTTGGAATTTGAATTATCATGCACATGATAGTGGTTAGATAGTGATCTTAAATGCATAGCCCAAACGGGTACAAAATTGGACGGTGTTTACTTATATAATGAGATCAAGTGATCTTTACGATTATAGTGAGTTCCATTGCAGTTCGAAACTGAGGTACAAATCATAGACAAGGAAGTGCAAAACAAAATCGCTGAATAAAATAAAGGATAGTCTATAGAAGACTTTTATTTTCCCCCAAAACTATATTTGACTTCTAACAAACGGCAACAAACGACACTCGCCCCCTGCTATTGAAAGTCCAGTATTGTATATGTTTTAAATATTACCATTGGTTTCTCTGAAAATTAAAATTTTAAAATGTATTTTTCTCTGAAGCACTTTCATGCATGGATGAGTACATTCCTACAACTTATTTATCAACTTACCAATTTTCTTTTTTTATTCAATAAAAGATACGTGAGGATGAATGCTATGCATTGGTATGAATTATTGCCTATTAAAAGATATGTGACCTCTAAAATTTAGTTTTAAATAAATTCATGATTTTTAAACAAAAATTTCTTCAAAAACTATTTTGAAAATTTATTTTAAAAAAGGTTTCACACATTGGGTAAGGCAACAATATTAACCGAAGTGGTGTCAAGTTGATATGAGGCCTTTAACTTTCAACTTCAACTATCTTTCTTTTGAGCAGTGCATACTTTCTTTCTTTTTGGTTGCCATTTTTTATCAGGTAATATTAAAAAAAAAACATAGCTTTTTTAATTTTAAACACATACTATTACTTAGAAAATGTCTAAAATCTTTACTGGACAATCATTCTCAGTTTCTCAAACTAAGTTTTCATTGTATTTGTAATGATAACACAAAACACCTCAAGAAATAAAAGAAATGGAAGTCTGAATATTTCAATTTTCACAATTCTTAAATTTTCAGTGAAAATCTTTCGAATTTCAGGTTCCACATTCCCAAAAGACAAATAATACTGCAATTTTTGAAAACATTAAAGTGTCATAACTAGGCAATGCAAAGTCTATTTAAACGTATATTGATTGAGTAAATAAAAATATTCTACTGAGCTTCTATAGGCTATTATAAAACTCTGTCTTATGTTAAACAATGACAAAAAAACATCCTACCTGACTTAATAATGATGATCCCCTCATCATAAATAACTACTGATGTGAGCAACTTGAAATAAAAATCTAAAAAAGCTTGTAACCCCAAATATCTGTTTATATACGGCATATTCATATAGTAAAAAAACACATACAACATGTGTGAGCTATTGCATCAGAAGATTTTAACCAATAGGGTTGCTAGGATTTGTTTTTAACTTCCATATAAGGAAAGTTTAAAGGTCATGGTCATGGATATTGTTCATGAATCTCATGAATGGAGGAGGGATGATTATTGAATGTTTTGATTTCATCATTCTTCATAGCCCTGGATTCCTGAAACTGTTACACACCCAAATGTCATCCTGATAGAAAAATCAGCTGACCCACTTAGGCACCAGGGTTAGAGGTATGACCCAGTAACGCAGATGTGAGTAGGTAGTTACCAGTTTCACCACCAGGTGGCTCGTTCGGGTCAGATAGCATGGCGGGTTTAGTAGAAAGTTCCCTTTAACTTAAATTACATCTGTTTAAGTGGTTCAATTTTCATATCACCCTTATGTATCTAATAGTTATGCAAATTAAAATATGTCCAGTAAAAGAAAATGTTTTCTGCCCCATACAAAAAAAGATATTTAACTTTTTGTGATTTTGTAACATTGGGTCTATGGGGAATCAACCCGAACAAGAAGTCGCATTTTCAAAAGAAATTAAATTTTCAAAGTTGATAAACAATTTTCGAAACCATCTTTCTAGATGT